AGCCCGATGCGGGACTCGATCCCGGGACTCCAGGACCACGACCTGAGCCGAAGGCAGTCGCTCAACCAACTGAGCCACCCAGGCGCCCCTCTCGGGAATTTCTTGACAAAGTCATATCACACAGGCCTTGCACAATTCTTAAATGTTCTCCAAAGCAGCCTGGTCTTACTAATATTAGCAGCCAAACAACCACACGGAGCACAGGACGTGCCCGACGTCACACTGACCGCTCTCGCCAGCACACACAGCCTCAGCTAGTCCTCAGAACTAGGACTAGGCCCCACTCTCCCACTCTAGGATTCCACCAGTGAGGGGAGGCTGCCCATTATTTTGGGGCACTTATGAGGTTTTTTGCAATAAGGGGAAAAGGAGACGTCACAAAAACACAGTTAAAATAAAGATATAAACTTAGAGTATTTTTTTTTTTTAAATCACTGTTTCAATCCATTTTCATTAAAATACAACCTACAACTTCTCTTTTCCCCACTTGAGGGGACTGTGATTATCACGATTTTGAAATGAACAATTTTTATTATTTTCTTATTTTTTTCAAATGTCAAGGCTGGATCACACATCAGACAGACAGGTCTCTTAGGTGAAGGAATGCATCTCCGATCAGGTATGAGTCTGTGCTGGTTTTATAGCCTTCTCTCACACGACTGTGTTACAGGACAAAACAAAAGGAGTATAAATTGAGAACACATAGTACTTCTTTATTTGGCTTACAAAGAACTGAGCGTGAAGAATTAAAAACACTGATGTCATACAAGAAAACACCCAGTTCTTTGTAAGTCTTGTAAAGGCACCTCTGTAATAGGCTGTGTTACCATCTGACACATATGGAATAACGTGGGGACGCCAAGACCATGATGAAATAGCACATACGTCCTGAAATCAATCATTCAGGGGACCCGCAGGGGAAGTCACGGAGTAAACTTCACCAACAAGGCAAGAGCTCACTCTTCCCAACTTGGCCAGCCTCTCCTCCATGGCACACATTACAAAACTGACAGCTGTGTGCACACCGCAAATCACACATACAGATCTGAAAAATGCTAGTAAATTAGTCTTCCCGTGTGCGCCTTCACAAGGACTCGGTGAGGAAAACCCGACGCCCAGCGGCCCCATGTTAGGTGCTGAGTGGTAGGGGGAGCCTGCCCCCGCCCCGGGACTGCAGGTGCTGAGGGGTAGGGGGAGCCCGACCCCCCCGGACTGCAGGTGCTGAGTAGGGGGAGCCTGCCCCCCGGGGACTGCAGGTGCTGAGGGGTAGGGGGAGCCCGCCCCCCGGGGACTGCAGATGCTGAGGAGTAGGGGGAGCCCGCCCCCCGGGAGTGCAGGTGCTGAGGAGTAGGGGGAGCCCACCCCCTGGGACTGCAGGTGCTGAGGGGTAGGAGGAGCCCACCCCCCCGGGACTGCAGGTGCTGAGGGGTAGGGGGAGCCCGCCTCCCCAGGACTGCAGGTGCTGAGGGGTAGGAGGAGCCCGCCCCTGGAACTGCAGGTGCAGAGTAGGGGGAGCCCGCCGCCCCCCCCGGGACTGCAGATGCTGAGTAGGGGGAGCCCGCCCCCTGGGCCTGCAGGTGCTGAGGGGTAGGAGGAGCCCGCCCCCCGGGGCCTGCAGGTGCTGAGGGGTAGGGGG